GCAGATTCTCCCTACGTACGGAACCCTCTTTTAAGCAAAGTGGGAATCAGCAGTCAGCTTGCAACTTGTTGGAAGCCTTTTGTATACAGACCCATTCAACCTCTCCACATGGCTGCAATATTGGAAAACTTCATTATGAATCTATCGCACGCGGAATATTGAGAGAACTGCCTCATCCCTTACGCCTATCCAGCAGAGAATCCTCCCTATTCCTGTTTGCTTATTCACCCCTTCTCCCTTAACAAAACTATATTGCCTAGGTCTTCTATCATATTCTCCATTTTAACAAAACCAATACCATAACAGATGAAGTTCACAGAAGGAACATTCAGCGGAAGTATTGTTGATATCACGTAATAACTACTGACACAAGTAACTTAAAAACTCTGCCGCCATACTGTGCTGCCACGCTAGTGCTGCCATCCCTAGGAGTTTGCGTGGAAAAACTGAAACACAAGTATAACCTTAGAATGTTTATACAAGGTAAAGCTCTTTATAACAAGTCATGGAGGACTATATGTTGTGAGACGTCGAGGCTCCCACATTTTATAGAAAATTGGCTCACAGATGGCGGTGAGATCGTCAGCTTCACACACCGGCCGCCATTTACCCCCAGGAAAATTCCTCGTACTTATTTCTGTTAAAGGTTGAGTCTACCCTAGGATCACAGTGCGGCGGGAAGGATTAGGTTAATTTAAAAATCTAAGAACCTCATCAGGAATCGAACCCGCGACTTTCTAGCTTGTAGTATAGTGTCTCAACCAACTAAGCTTTTAAATATATTTGTTTAGAAAAACTAAAACTTATAACATTTTCAAAATTGAACCAAAATTCTGATTCTTTAAAAACAAAATCAAAAGACTAATCGCGTGTAAACTGTTGGAGGGTAATTGTAAGATGGCGCTTTTGGTTTTGTTTTCCCAAAAGAACGTCTTAATGGTGGTAGCTCTAACGTAGCAGAAAACATGGCTGTAACTCTTAAAACACTTCGGTCGCTCGCTAATACCTAGATGTCTGACATGTAACATGCATAAAGGAAATATTAAATGTTCACAAAATTTTGGTCTGTAAATGTGCTTTTAGACGAAACTACTTGTAAGGCGTTGTCGTAGATGGATTTTTAGTTCATTTAAGCATCTGTCAGTGACTCTGGCTGTATGATTTGATGAGAGAGAACAATAAATTTGGTGGAAGGAAGTGGTCGTTTCCTGATTTCGAATTATCATCCAAGCAGTTGCATGGAGGAACTGTGGAAATCCACGAAATACAGCCAGGATAATGTTTGCCACGGACCGAGATCCGAACTAATCATCTAATAAGCACAAATCGTAAACAGAGATGTCATGAGCAATTATCAATTGCTCAAGCTAATTAATTACAGTTGGGAGCCTCGATGGCTGAATCGGTATAGGGACTGGAGTTCGAATCCTGGTAGGGTCAAGAAGTTTCTTCTCCCCACGTCGCCCAGGTCGGCTCTGGGATCCACCCATCCTCCTATCCAATGGGTACCGGGGACTCTTCCTCCGGGGTTAAAACGGCAGGGGCGTGAAGCTGACCACTCAGCTCCAAATAGTACCGAGGTCATGGACCTATATATCCACTGTTAAATACGCCTTCATGGCGTAATGTTTAATTAGTTAAGCACAGGGGCAAGTTTACCTTTACTTTTTTCCCTGTGGCGCTACAGCCTCAATTTGGGCCTAGGCCTACCTCCATGAAACTCTCCGTTTCACTTCGGTTTACTAGATCTTACACAGTCGGTAGGACTCCTTGGGTGAGTGATCAGCTCGTTGCAAGACCTCTACCTGTAGACAAACACAGAAAAACGCACACAAACATCCATGCCCTGAGTGGGATTCGAACCCACGATCCCGGCTTCCGAGCGAGCGAAGACAGTTCATGCCTTAGACCGCGCGGCTACTGTGACCGGTAGTGTACAAGAATAATATATAAGAATTCAGTCCGTACTTCACAGGAAACAGATCCGAACCCACGATCCCGGCTTCCGAGCGAGCGAAGACAGTTCATGCTCAGACCGCGCGGCTACCGTGACCGGCTCCTTTACTTTACATTTAGAGATACTTTAATGTGAACTGTATGAAGTTCGCTTAAGAACGCGAGGAACGTAGTGGTGTGAACCAGGCCTCTCCAAGTCTTCTGCTTCCCTCTATCGGAAACTCACCACGCTCACCACTGCGGTAAACGCAAACTCCATTTGTGAAAGTGATTGGAACCTAATAAAAGCACTTTCCTCCAGTGCACTCATTCCTACGCCCCTCCGCCCCGCCCTCACTGGGCCCCTGTGCATGCTGCTGCACTGTGTCGCCTGAGTACGAGAATTATTGTATTGGCTTGACGCATCGCGACATCTTGCGGACAAATCCTTAACCCGCATCACAACAATCAACTAGAACGTCTGTGTGTCTGTCTGTCTTAAAGAGATCGAATGAAATTGGCACGAAGTCATTTGCAGCGATGCCATTAAGTGGTGAAAACGCTTCGAAATATTCAGTTTTCGAGCAATTCAGTTTTATTTTTCTGTGAACAAATATTCCACCCCTTCGCCTTTCTTTCCTTTTTGTTTTCTTGTACTGACTCATCTTTTCTTTATTTTCTTCCAGTTTCCTTGTTTGTTTGTGTTTTCTCTTTCTCCTACCTCTTTTGTTTCTGTTCCCCCTTTAGTTCATTTCCTCTTCCACCATTTTTTTCTTTCTGTCTTTTTCCTCTCTTTTGTTTTCTTCTCCCTTCCTCCATTCTCTTTTCCCCCCTTCCTTTCCTTTTCTCTTCTTCCTCTCTTTGTTTTCTCTTCTTTCCTCCCTTCTTTTTTTTTGTCTTCACTTTTTATTATCTTTCGTTTTTCTTCCATCCTCTAGTCTTCTTCCTTCTTATTTTATTCTTTTTCTTATCCATTTCTCCCCTTTCTTTCCTTTATTCTCTCTTTATTTGTTCCTCTTTCCTCGTACATTTTTGTCCCTAATACATTTCCTTAATTTTTGTCCCTTGGGTCACCAGGTTACATAGTAAGGACAATATTTAAAAACACATATCGCGCTATTAACTCTAAAGGCGAGTCCACATTACTCGTTATGCTCGCGAGTAATGTGGACGATATGACAAGTCACGAGACAAACAAATTTTTAATTTAAAAACTATAGCCAATAAATTAAAATACGACTACAGCCTATACACACTACGAGTAAATATACGGATCCTCACGCGCCGAAGCCTGGCGAGCAACTGAAGTAGTGTGGACGAAGATTTACGAGCACAAGTAAAACCCAGACGAGTCTCCCGACGAGCACGAGCACCAGTAATGTGGACGCGCCTTTAGGGTTCTTTTAATATGGAATTTCCTCTCCCGTTTTCACGTAATGTCCTTTGGTGTTCTTTGTTTTACAATTAATTATGAAACAAAAAATCCTTTCGATATTTCCCAACAATCCTTTCATGGAGGAATCGATCCATTGCAAGGACTCTCTTACACAGGACAACATAACACACGACTAACTGAGGTTCTGTCCATATCACAAGGCACACAGTTTGCACATAATTTCTTTGCATCTTCGCAAAATCGAGGTAAATTTTGTTAATACAGATTTACTCAGAAAGTTGGAGCATTCTCTGACTTTGATTTGGTGGCTTCATCTCTGAGTCTTCATAATGTTAATACTTACGAGGATAGAAATGCCCCTTCTGGCCTCTTAATACAAAACCACATAAAAAACCATCCACCGAGACCTGAGTTTAAAATCTGCGGGCGAACAGAGAGACACGATCTCTCCTACATGAATTCAATTTATGCACGCCGGACAAAGAAAGCGTGACGTCACATTCATAACGGGATCGGGTTTCGACACTGCAGTTCGTTGCTCGAGTTTTCGAAATGTTTCAGAAATATGCATATTCAGCACCAAGTCCACTGAAACTCAAGCCAATGGAGTGCCTAACTGGATTATGGAAGCCATGTACTTACTAGCCCGCTCTATGATTCTCAAACAAAACTGACCTCCTTTACTACAGATTCACATTCTACCCTGTTACTTGCCTTATAGCTCCATCTATTCATTTTCAGCTCTCGTAAATCATTCTGTACATTTTCCAGACATTTACCTCCGAGCCTTCTCACATTTCTTCTATCTTCTGCTTTACTTTCAGGAATGTTCTTATCTGCTCTTGTTTGATCCGGTCTAATGACATGTACGTCAAAAAATTCCATGCTTTTTCTTTATTAACATCTGCCAGATCAAACATTTTATATAATTCCACCAGTTCTTTGTTGGTTCGTGCTACATGCCCTCCCATATCATCCTCCCTGACTTGATCATTCTAATTGTAACTGTCGGAGAAGTTTATGGAGGTAGGCCTAGGCCCACTGGGGCTGTAGTGCCAAGGGGAAAAAAAATTAACTGGCAGATATTACAAGTTATGAGCTCCCCATTATGCAGTTGTGTCATATCGTGTCTAGTATAGGCCTCATGCGAATGTACACTGCTTCGCCATGAAACTGGGTAGGCTATTTTGCAAAATTGGGTAGGTTTAGCCTTAATCGTTGTAACCGGAATAGCTCAGTCAGTATACCGACGGGCTACGGGCTGGACGACCGAGGGGTCGGGTTCCGAGTCCCGGTAGGGTCAAGAATTCTCCGTGTCGTCCAGACCGGCTCTGGGGTCCACCCAACCTCCTAGATAATGAGTACTGGGGGCTCTTTCCCGGGGGTAAAGCGGCCAGGTTGTGAAGCTGACCACTCCAACTAGTGCCGAGGTCAAGAAAACGTGGATCTATACAGCCACTCTCCCATACACCTTCATAGCGTAGTGTTTAATTAGTTAAGCACAGGGAGAACTTTACTTTTTTACCCTAAATCTTGTTCATTTCGTTCCCTTGTGTGTAGTGGTAAGCCCTTGTTCTTGGCCTTGATACTCAAGAACCAAATATTTTGTATTTTTAATATGATGATTTCTTTCCTCCAGATATTGTGGTGAGTGTGAATATTGTTACAGGAATGGTTGTGAACGGGTTTGTCAACGTGGTGATCACAACAATAGAGCGTCGGTTCGGGCTCCGGTCCTCGCAGTCGGGTCTGGTAGCCGGAGGCTATGACATCGCGTCCTTCCTGTGTCTCATTCCTGTCACATATCTGGGAGGCCGTCCTGGAGCCAGCAAACCCCGCTGGCTTGGCTGGGGGATCCTCGTCATGGGGATTGGATCGCTCATATTCACGTTCCCTCACTTCGCCGTCGGTCCGTACCGCGGCGCCACACATCATGCCAGTACCTGCAACGTCATCACAAACAGTTCCTCTGCAACGGTATTACGCACTAAGCGTTACCTCACTTCTTATCTGTTTATTTACTTTCTCAGTTAAATATTTACTGTCTTTCTTGCATATTTATTCATTTACAATGTCACGTAGAGGTCGCAGTTTTACCACAAAAACAGAATTTTAACTTTTGTCTTTTAATCTTTAGTTTATAATTTTAATCTTTATTTATTTAACTTTAAATTAAATTTTATTATCTAAGGATTTTCAGTTTTAAATTTTTGACCAAGACTTAATTCGCTTAGTGGGGGGTGGAGTCCAACTGGGTCCACTCGGCACGGCGGCAAATGATTGGCCTATTGTAGCCTTCCCCGGGTGTATATGATGATAGAGAATTGGTGGAATGAAGATTGGCAGGGGAAACCAAAATTACTCAGAGAAAACCCGCCCTAGCGCCAGTTTGTCCACCACAAATCCCACTTGATCAGAATTGGGATTGAACCTGGGCCGCCGCGGTGGGAAGCCAGCGACTAACCGCTTGAGCTATGGCTCGGCCTTTTACCAAGACTTAATATATTAATTTTTGGATTTAAATATTTCAAGACACGATAAGGACCCTTAGTTCAAGAATTAGTTGACAATTAATTGCAACTCAGCAGCTGAAACTGGAGCATTGTGCGCCTGTTGATGGCCCGGGATTAGGGTCGAAACCTGTTGCGTCTGTAAAAACAAAATAAAAACATATGTTGATAACAGTAATATCTTCTTTGTTTTTTAAATATAATACGTATTATTGTGTAGACTGCAGATCTTATATACTTTTGTGTATCTTATTGAGAAAATTATGTTTTATTGATGAATAAATTTTGCTATCATTTAAGTATCTTCAGTGTCTCAAATCGCGAAATAATTTTCATAAATATCTTGCATGCAAACGAAAATTGGAGACGATTATGAAATCTTCGATTATTACAAGTCTTTAACCGTAATAATTTTGATCAGTTCACCCCATTTAGACTGAAACCGTTTCGTGAATTTCACATGTATATAGAGGCAGAATTTGTTGGGCTGTGTAATGACATGACGACACGTGTTATATGCTTTGCTGTAGGGAGAATGTGCCGACAGCCAGCAAGGAGCCGAACATCATGCAAGTTACATGTGGCTATTCCTATTAGGGCAGCTGCTTCACGGCGCTGGGGCTTCGCCCCTATACACACTGGGCGTCACATTTATAGACGAGAACGTCTCCAAAAAGATGTCTTCCGTGTATCTAGGTGAGTGGGCTACAGAAGATAATATTAAAATATATCTTGGTACGTAACTTTAGGTTTCGTCTGCAGACATCTTATATTAAAATTGGTGGTAAAGTAAAAAATTAAAGCTATCCCTGTAACAGGCCGTGGAGGCCCATAGGTTTCTGAGACGTCGAGGCTCCCACATTTTCTCTACTATTGGTCCACAGATGACGGTGAGGATGTCAGCCTTACGCGCCGGCCGTCCTTTGCTCCCAAGAAAATTCCTGGTACTCATTTCTGTTTGAGGCTGAGTACAACCCAGGGCAATAGCACGGTTGGAAGGATTAGGTAAATTGAAAAAAATCCACCTTGTTGGGAATCGGACCCATGACCTTCCGGCTTGTAGCATAGTGCCTCAAGAAACTATGCCACCGCGATATCACCATAAGAATCATAATGTAAACAGATCCCCATTGTTTTAATTTTTGAACTTGTTTATGCAAAAGGGATAAAATAACTTCAAACTGTGTATACAAAATTCCGTTTTATTGAATCACGTTGCAAAAGAAGCAAAGGATATACGTAAAGCTACCTAAAAAAAATCGGTAACGAAAGCAAATACCAGCACAGCTTGCTACAGGGGATGTTAGCACATAACATTTTCATCTTCAGCCCCTAACCTTATTTTACACAAAAGTGCGTACACAACGTTCCCCATAATTAAAATCTGAAAATTTCCCTGAGGAACAATAAAATGATTATTATTTTATTTCTCCGTTCTTTTTTCTTTTTTGTTTCATTTTCGCTTCTTCCCCCCGGTGATGCGACCTGGTGGTAGAACAGGGAATTAAAACGAGCAGGAGTTCGGTACATTAAACAAAATTACGAACCTCTGGAAGCTCCTCAGATAATTCAAATTTCTTTATTAAGAAAAAAGAATATTCCCTCTTGAAATGGTCCTCAACCAGTGAGACTTGACCGTTGTCTGTGTGCTACACGAGGTATCGACAACAATAATAATCAATGGAAGGTCGCGGGTTCGAGTCCTGATGAGGTCATTGGAATTTTTCAATTGATCTAATCCTTCCAGCCCCTAACAGAAGTGAATGCCTGGAATCTTCCTGGGAGTAAAGGGCGGCCGGCGCGTAAGGCTGACAACTTTAACACCATCTGTGAGCCGATTGTCTAGAAAATTTGGGAGCCTCGACGGCTCAGAACTCTATGGGCCTTCACGGCCTGTTACAGGGATAGCTTTACTTAACCTCAGAGCCATCTATGAGCCAATTGTCTAGAAAATGTGGGAGCCTCGACATCTCACAACTCAATGGACCTCCACAGTCTGTTACAGGGATAGCTTTGTCTATTTCTTTATAATATTGAAATACATAGATGTAAATGTAAACTTACTGAGGAAAAGAGTTTTGCATTTATCACGGTGGCGTTACAGTGTCTTGAGAAAATTGCCAGCGGAACGCAACTTGCATAGTCGCGAGAATCTGTGATCCAATAGCATGAAGAATATTCTTCCTGCCTGTTTTACAAAACAGAGTTATGCTGTGTTTTAATCTATATTAACCGTAAAATAAAAATATCGTGGCTTACACTCGTAGACCTGTCGCTAAGCGGCGACTCTGTAAACATCGGCAGTCACTAGGTAACACATGGAACATACACGCAGCCAATAATGGAAAAACTGTGTTTTCTGTGTTGTCCGTGCCGAGATATTATAAGCAAGGAACAAAGTTAGAGCTTATTCAATTGTTATTCAGATCTGTACGGGAGACTGTGAAGAGAGGATTTGAGCCGGAGATTTAGGAATAGACATTGTTGGAGCCGTTACAAGGAAACGTCTAGTAACAGACTGAGACGAAGTGTTAAACGAGAAGGAAAATCCAAGTTTTCGCTTTAATTTTCGTGGGTACTTTATCCGAAGCTATGTTGTGAACATAAATAAATAATGATATTTATTTATGTTTTATTTACCGACGCTATCACTAAATAAGATTATATGGCGTCGAATGAGTAATGAAATATGAAATATATGGAAGGAAACAGAAGTGATTTAATAGAGTCACACTCTAGAGGTTATCCTTGGAAGAACTGATAAAACCCATGACAGCCTGAATCGAATGAAGCACGTCCTGAATACAATATACTTACTTACTTACTTACTTGTGGAGCTGAGCCCTCCTTGAGGAGCCGCCAATTCTACAGCTACTCAAAAACTTCCCAGCATTTTATGGAACCCGAAGGTTCATTGCCGTGTTCACAAGAGCCCCCCACCGGTCCCTATCCTGAGCCAGATCAATCCAATCAATTTTAATATTGTCCACCCACCTACTCCTTGGTCTCCCCAGTGGTCTCTTTCCTTCTGGTTTTCCCACCAATATCCTATATGCATTCCTCATATCCCCCATTCGTGCTACATGCCCTGCGAATACAATACACTGCTACATTGATTTCTTCGTCAGAGAATGCAACTGCACCCATATAATGATGAGGGTTAAGAGGGGGTGAGGGGGGTGATAGAGGCATCGTTCATCTTGTGGCCGGCAGTTACAGCGTCAGAGCCATTGTGGCTGATGTCATTGTTGCGGGCTCACTGCACGCAGCGAGGAGCCGTTGAGAATAATACAGCGCAGGCACACGCAATTGTTAAGTGAACCTTTCCCACGCATATGGTCCCAACAGAGTTTACATAACAATAGAAAAGTGACACAATATATTGACATATATATCATTACGAGGACAATCTCTACATGGATATTACCGCCTTTTGGAACACGACAGCCATGTAGATGGTTACAGAAATTTCGACGTAAAACCATCTGCTACACTGAAGATAGAAACAGTAATTTTCTTTGAAACATCCGTAACGTATTGTATTGGAGACTGGATTTATTGACACAGAACTCGGAACTACACCTAATTACAGCGCTGTTGCTGATCTACACCCTCTAAGCCTTTTCTAATCGAACTATATCTTAACCAGCCTTTACCTAGCAACGGCTTCTAGCAGTGGAGATTCTGCAGCTACCCGCGCTCATGTCCTCTTGTCACAGACTCCCGTGCAGAACTCTTTGTCAATCTCGGATGACAACTATCAACACCGGAACACTCAATCCAATCCTTTGCTGCAAATGCCAACGCTCTCCTTACCGTCTCTTCACAATTAATCCCTCAGTTAGTCTACGATCCTCGTTATATAGGCTTTGGGCGGACTCAACAGAAAACACCGTTTTTAGCAGTTCCTCTATCTTTACTTGCACATTCGTTGCCGCTGGAACGTGTTTACCGAGACTTGCCTAGTAATGGTCGTCTCCTCTGGTTCCACTATTTCGGCCTTCAGGTGTTATGTCACAGTATCATATCAAACGTCGTCAACCCAGAAGAAAATAATTAGTATATTATTACCAGGGCCGGATTTTGATGACATGTCATCTTTTTTCCTTATATCCTATGCGATGCTCTTAAATATATAAATCTCGGATATGAGCTGCTGGTTACAGAAATGTAAATTTTATAGGTAATCTTTTGTCATTCTTTTTTGACATTTTAAGTTTTAGGTCATTTTTTCATTTGGGGTGTAATTTTTGGACTTTTCAGGGTATTTCTCGTCATTTTTGGTCATTTTAGGGAATGTTTCTTCATATATTTTCTGAAATGTGAACAACATGGAAGCAAAGTGTTCTTTCTTTTCTCCTTTAGGTCATTTTTCTGCATTTTTCAGTCATTTTTTAAACATTTTCACGTCATCCAAATCCGGGCCCTGCATATTACATTTTTGGGTCATATTTTAGGTAATTTTTCTGGATTTCTTCGGTCATTTTTTAAATATTTTCAGGTCGTCAAAATCCGGGCCCTGATTATCACCATTGGGCCACGACTGTTTCCTTCCAGATCCTTTTCCAAAAATGTATTTATCATCCATCAATTCGGCCTTATATTCCATCTGCTATAAGCGTCGTTAAATACACTATTAAAACAAGACAGAGCTCCTCACAGTCATCACAGGGATAACCTCAAATTTCGTTTAAAATGTTGGTCTGAAGGTAACGCCCTACAACTGTGTTTTCTGGAGGTGCTCAGTTAGGTTCCCTCCTGGAACACCAGCCATCTTGAGACTTTTCGCTCTTTTCCTAATTCCCTCCAGAAAAATGCTGGGATAGTAACCAGATCCGGCCACTATTGCTTCTTTCCTAGTCGTTTCCACTTCGTCAGTCCTACTATAATCTCACGTTATACAGCGTTGTTAAATAACCAAAGGAATAAACAAATATTTGCCGCAATCTTACAAGAATTCTTAATATCAGGCTATTTGGGAGCGAGGGTAGCCCAGTCGATATAGTGACCAGCTGGACGACCGAGGAATATGAGTTCAATTCTCTTCTCCATAATGTCCAGCCCGGCTTCGATACCCACCCTATCCAATGGGTAATAGCTGATTTCCCCTGGGTTAAACCGGCCTGAGCTTTAAGCTAACTACTCATCTCTGATAATGAAGTGAAAATATTTTTAAACCATTCTCAACTTTTACGTATGTCGTCAAGGTTTGGTGTTTAATTAAACACTGGGAAAACTTTACATTATTTTTACCTCATCTCTTTTAGGAACAAATACTTTCCTCGGTAATTTGTCCATCCATTTCTTTTTCTATCTCATACAGGCGTTGTATACCCCTGAATTAGGGATGAATCTCTAGAACTCCATGACGCACGAACGTACGGCAATGTTTGACTACTGTTAAGCCCCACGAGATGGCAGCAGTATCCAGCACCACACTAATATCCGTTAGATGACTCTGTTCAGTTTATTGCGCTGGGTATCCCCCCCACGCGTGCAATGTATTAGACTTAACAATAATAACAACACGTGGTTCGGGTATCTGGAGAATTAGATTAATGGGCCACGTGGGATCTCTCCAAGCCCTCTATTTCCTCTTTCTTAATCTTCTTCTCTTATTCTTTCCCACCGCACGTCTCTTTACCATCACACTCCATACGAACACTCATGTAACAATACTAAATTCCACCTGATGGTACGTCACCCTCAGTTAGTGACGTCATCATTACATGGTTACTAGAAACTTGTAAAAGGTTATCAATTCCGCCCAGTGTGGCTGATAATTTTATCTTTCCTTTTAAATCTTTCATTCTTGTTTTTTCTCTCCTTTTAAATCGTTCATCCTTGTTCTTTCTCTCCTTTTAAATCTTTCATCCTTGTTCTTTCTCTCCTTTTAAATCTTTCATCCTTGTTTTTTCTCTCCTTTTAAATCCTTCTTCCTTGTTTTTCTCTCCTTCTAAATCTTTCATCCTTGTTCTTTCTCTCCTTTTAAATCTTTCATCCTTGTTTTTCTCTCCTTTTAAATTTTTCATCCTTGTTTTTTCTCTCCTTTTAAATCTTTCATCCTTGTTTTTCCTCTCCTTTTTAATCTTTCATTTATCAGTCACACTGGAGGGAGCTGATAATCCTTTATACTATTGCTAGTGTGACGGACCAGTATGAACCAAATTAAATTTACTAGATTCTATTTTCAACATACTTTCAATGTTCATACTCCGGTGAGAAATTCGAACTCACTGTTAAACATGAATTTTCCATATGATTGCATACACAAAGCATGACGAACATCGGTCCGTTGAGTATATGAACATTTATTGATATACTGTTGTAATAAATAATAAAAAGGTAAAATCTCCCCTGTGCTTAACTAATTAAGTACTACGCCACGAAGGCGTATGGGGAGTGGGTGTATAGATCCACATTTTCTTGACCTTGCACTAGTTGGAGGTGAGTGGTCAGCTTCATGCCCCGGTCGTTTTACCCCCAGGAAAGAGGTCACGGATATGAGGTTTGGTGAACCTTGAAATTTATGCCAGTCCTGAAGTCGAGCTTGCTGCTACTTCTGAGAAGCCATTACCTCCCCTTACTCCAAGCATAATGGTGAATAAGTTGTCCCTCTCTTTTCTGAGTATAGGTTTTAATAATCAATGTCATTTCTGTGTCACAGGGATCTACTACACGACAGCCATAGTTGGACCAGCACTCGGCTACGTTCTGGGAGGACAGTTGCTCGCAGTCTACACGGACTACCTCTCCGTAGACCCAACAGAGTAAGTACGGCGGGAGCTGTTTTTCGAACTTATCCATCTTTGTATCATTTATTGACCTTCTGTTAACCCTTTAAAGTACCATGATTAGTATACCATCTGCTGGCAAAGTTATTAATGTTGTTTTGGGCTTATTTTTCTGCCCCGAAAAATAGACATGGCATGTTCCTTCGAAACGTCGGTTGACTTTAAACAGACTACACTGTGGTATAACCCAGAGAATAGAATTATTTGTGACTCCCGTTGTGAGAACTTCAAATCTTGCTAGTGGGAAATATGTTCTTTATTGATTGCGGAAAGTTAAGAAAGGTTAATTTTACTCTGTGAGATTTCAGCTTCTTCCGTGGAGACCGTGAAGATTAGTCTTCCAGGATGTGACGTAGTTAGATGCCAGCGTTCTCAAAGAAATTACAGCTTCCAGACTTCTATTTCGAAAACTGGGGCAGCAAGCTCTTCTGGGTTGTGTTTATTGGTCACCTCTGTGGTCTAGTGGTCAGAGTTCCTGGATACAGATCCAGAGGTCCGGGTTCGATTCCCGGCGCTACCAGATTTTCTGAGAAGTAGTGGGTCTGGAACGGGGTCCACTCAGTCTCGTGAAGATAACTGAGGAGCTATTTCAAGGAAATAGAGGCTCCGGTCTAGAAAACCGAGATTAACGGCCGTGGGATTCGTTGCGCTGGCCACGCGACACCCTCTATCCGCTAAAGTTGGCACTAACTTCGCCGACAAGCGGCTGTCGCTCGGTCGGTATAGTTAACTTGGGGACTAAAACCACGGAGTTTGTTTCTGGGTTGTGTTTATTCACTTCTTTGTTTGTCTATTCCACGTTGCTGCCCCTAGCACAAAGTGTACAGCGTTCTAGTGGTACTACGATTAAGGGTTAGGAAGGAAGTTCTCCCAGCATTTTTCTGAGTGTTCTGAGGAGAATCACGAAAATATTGCCACGATAGTTTCTGTACCGGCCGAGATTCGAAGTGCGTACCCTTTTAAAACAAATCATAAATATTTCTGCCTGAGTTAACTGTCTCAGTTTCTGGGATATGACAACGTATAGTCCTGTAAGCAGATATCTAGATTTCGGAGTAAAATTTTGCCTCCATCTTCAATGTTGAAGCAGGTTTAGGTTCCGCTTAAATCAAATATTTTCTCGACACTACTTTTACCACCCCTAGCTGCACCTTACATCTGCTGTTCGACAATCGCTTGAAACATATTGGAACCTGTAATGTTTGATGTAATTTATGAACCCAACGGTAAGGTACAAATCATTTCTTTCGCCTCTCTTTTGTTCTGACATTCTCATGACGATATTTCATTTTCACTCGACATGCACAGGCTGTAACCCAGTTGAAATATGGCGACTCGTTTTCTGTGTTCGGGAAAGGAGCTTCAATCTCCCAAACTCTCCCATTCTCTCGTTTGTTTTATTTTTAAAGTGGTTTGACATATATAACTCTTCCTTGCGTGACCGGAATAATAAGTTGATGGGTGTGGGGTTTGGGGATGGGGTGTGCTTTGGAATCCATCTGCGAAGGAACCCGCGACTTCTTCCCGCCGTCAGTATAAATATGGTGACACTGAATGGAGTTTCTAATGCGGAACCCCCCCCCCCCTTGTTTTATTTTCACGGCCAATTCAGCACAGGAGGTGATAATTTAGTAGCAGCACACCGGCCAATAAGTATCTCATGTATATAATCTATTCACATATATACATACAAACGAAAAAGTTTGTTTAACCAGTAACAGTCGACAAGTGTCCAGTTCGAATCTCGGTCAGGAAGCAAACTGTTGTTACCGACGTTCTATGTAGTTTTTCTTCATGTAAATGCAGGGGAAATACCTTCAATTAGGCCAAGATTGCTTCAGAATGAGGCATATGCCTGAAGTCGTAGGATAAAACCGCAAAAATATAAAATATCGCGGAGGAGGTTCGAACCAGGCACCTCTCAAATATATCTACTGCGGTTAGTCGCTGGTTTCTCACAGCGGCGGCCAGGATTCGAGCCCGGGTCTGGTCAAGTGGGATTTGTGGTGGACAAATTGGCGCTGGGTGCAAGTTTTCTCCGAGTACTTCGGTTTCCCCTGCCAATCTTCATTCCAGCAGTTGCTCCACAGTCACCCTCACCTATCATCTGGGGCTGGTACAGTAGGCCAGAAGTGGCCGCAGTACAAGGGACTTAGTCCCACCCCACTAAGAATAATAATAACAAAATAAAAGTTGAAGTTGAGCTTATAGACACGAGAAGGACGGTTGGAGTTACACGGCCAAATCGAGAGATCGATGGTGAAGAGGTCAGGTCGACTGAGGGACGAGCGGAGTGACTGACGGACGAACACAAAGATAGACAGGCCGTGCCATAGATCGGGCGGTTATTCGCTGGCTTCCCACCGCGGCGGCCCGGGTTGGAGCCCAGCTCAGGTCATGTGGAATTTGTGGTGGACAAAATGGCACTGTGACAGGTTTCCTCCAAGTACTTCGGTTTCACCTGCTAATCCTTATTCCACTGACTGCTCCACACTCATTATCTGTCATCCGAGGCCGGTACAGTAGGCCGAACAGTGGCCGACGTACCAAGTGGACTAAGTCTCACCCCACCACAAGACACTAAATTAAAAGAACTAGATAGATAGATAGATAGATGGACAAGAATTTCCTTAATGGCCGACAACTTCATTTCTCACAAAAATCACATGAGTAAACAAACCCAGTTATTAACAGATTAGACGAAGTCATGTATGTAATGTCGTGAGCCTTCCCTGTCTCACTTGTCACGAAGTGTCAACCTTCCTCTGCCAATTTTTCGGATGACTTCCTTGTATGGTCAAGTCGAACAGCTGTCCCTCATTGATCCATCCGATGTGCTGCGTTATCTCAGTCACCATAGTGACATCTGATAGTGACCTCGGGAGTCTTAATGCGTTGTCACATAACGCTTCGTGGGCGGGCAAGTCGTTAGGTCGCTCGGGCTCAGTCAGAAGTTGCAGCTACCTGTAGAGGGGTCTGGCCGTGTGATTCTGCTGCCAGCTACCCAGAAAGTTTAATATCGCTGGACAGATGACACATAGGGGTAATCTTGAAGAAACACCCTCACTGCTGAATTATTCAAGAGCTCGTCTTTTGTCCTCGTCTTTACCTCAGCAGCACTCTCTTACGGCCTCCATCTGAACTACAACACAGTGATGCATAAACGATACAAGTTCAACATTGAATCACAGTTCTATTTACAGTAACACAACCCGAGGGCATGGTTTATTTCCTAGTTAGTATCAAGCCAACGGTTATACCATGTCCATCTTCAGGGTCGAAAAGAAGCCAAGTACAAGCAAGCGTCAAGTCTGCAGCCTGACACACGGCGTCACGTCCCAGAATACCGAGACGTAGTGGAACACTGATAAGCATTAGAAGAACTAGAAATAGAGGGAAGTGTACAGAGGGGAATTAGGTGGTTGTTTCGAGAGGAACAGAGATTGAGGTCCTGAGGGTGATGAACATGGAGGTCACCGTCTTCCGGGATGTCTCCGTGTAGTCTGGTACATACCAGACATCGACGCTGAAGCTATTCTAACCACCAATGTTTCGAAGGAACTTCCTGCATCTATCTTCAGGGTAAAAGAACTTTTCGGAGTAACCTCTTGTCTCCGGATAAAATATTTCTCTATTCTTAGCAAGTTCCTTTCCCCCGAAACATCGGTAAACATCTGCCGGAGTACAAGTTCCTATTCCTAGAAGAAAATGAACCTCAGATTACAAGCAGATGAGAAACGTGAGGAAGAAGTACAGGAGGAAATACCATACAGGAAAAAAAAGACACCGGAAATTGAAATTTGTATTTCGGGCTGTGGAAGCTCACGCAGTTACTGTAATCCGGGGTTTGCCGTACAGAATTGCGTTTTAATGGAATTTTATAGAACGCTGCCACCTGAAGTTAGGCCGCCATTTGCAATCGTCAAACTGTCAGTTGCAGTCAGTTCATTCTTGTAAGTGTAACAGTCCGTTTGGGGTCACGTTCCACAGTTGAAAGCACAGCGCTTAACGAGGGCCAGAGCTTTGGGGGGGGGGTAATTAAGAGAAGTGTCTAAATTCCTGCAGTGATTATTTGAAGTCTACCGATCACGGTGGCCGCGCAGTCTAAGGCATGAACTGTCTTCGCCCGCTCACTGGGATCGTGGGTTCGAATTCCACTCGAGGCATGGATGTCTGTGTACATTTAATCTGTGTTTATGCTGTTCTGTGTGTAGGTAGCGGCCTTGCGATGGACTGATCCCCCGTCCAAGGAGTCCTATCAACTGTGCAAAAAATAAAAAAGTAAGTAAAGGTATCCCTGAGCCGCCTCCGTAGTCTAGAGGTAACGTTCCCACCTCATGACTCGTAGTACGCGGGTTCAAATACCCGGCGGAGGTCGTCGAATTTTTAAGGGCGGAAAAATTCAGGGAACAAGTCCTCCGGGAGGGACTTTAAGCTGTGGGTCCCGTGTCGTAGCTTTACGGCACGTAAAAGAACCTCATATCTCCAAAGGAGGTCACTGAGCCAAATTGCGGACGTTTCCCGCCCAACAGCAGTCACTAATACATCCGGCAGATGGGGGAATCATTATAGATACCTCTCAGCTAGTAGAGCCGGTCTCGCTGGCTGGGCGGGACTGATGGTAAGCACCAGTACTGGTAGGATATAGAGACTGGTAGAAATCATAGAGGGAAGCACAATGGACCAATACAGGTCTAAGTGCATGGGGAAACCCACCCTCTCCAAAAAAGAAGAAAAAAAAAGGTATCCTGTAACAGGCCGTGGAGGCCCATGGGGTTGTGAGACGTCGAGGCTCCCACATTTTCTAGACAATCGGCTCACAGATGGCGGTAGGTTTGTCAGTCTTACGCGTCTGCCGCTCTTAACCCACAGGAAGATTCCTGGTACTCATTTCTGTTAGAGGCTGAGTCGACCCCAGGGCCATAATGCGGCTGGAAGGATTAGGTCAATTGAAAAAATCCAATGACATCGAGATTCGATCCCGCGACCTTCCGGCTTGTAGCACAGTGCCTCAACCGACTAGGCTACCGCGCGCCCCCAGCACGAACAAAGAAAGACAAAACAAAATATACAAACAAGAGACAAAAACAAGATCATACAATAACACTTGAATCAATGCGGTCACACCAAACCATTACGCGGAGAGAAAATGGCGGAAGACAATTCGTCTGAAATGGCATGTACGTAGCAACGGCTATACATGCTACAATGTAAATAATTTTCATTTGTTTGTGTAATAACAATAAACATGATTGTATTTCTTTTTCATTCTTATGCCTGTTGCTGTTTCGAGTTTTCGCCAAACTGATTATCACGTGACAGTGAACAGTTGAGGTGAATTTATTGCTTTTTATTATAAAGGAACATTCTGACTTCTGAATTGCGTCTTTGCTTCTCTTGTGCCAAAGGCTCCAATTAAGTACAAAATATATATTTTACGACGTTTTCTTTTTTTTACTTCCGTTTCTTCTTCATTTGTTTTTTTATTTCCTCTCATTCTTCCATATTTATTTATTTATTTATTTATTTATTTATTTATTTATTTATTTATTTATTTATTATCTTTACCTCCTTTCCCTTCCTTTTTCCTTCTTCCTTATTTTAGAAGCACCGCTTCCATTACGTCACTTATGTCTTAAAGATCCCACTGCCTTCTATTTATATACCTTTTACTTTCCATATATGAAACCGTCATCTGTTTCTCCCCTCTCATGTCCTTGTAGAAACTTATCCCCTAATCCCCACCCATTCAGGGTACTCCAGAACGTGTAAAGTACTCCCTACACCACCCTCTTCCTCCCTACCCCATCATTTATGAATACTAAAATGGTGGCCTCTAGGTTATGTTCACGTAAGTAGGAAGTGAAGCAGCGCGGAAAGATGGCGCTGTTCTCACATCGCGTTTCATCTTTTAAATTACAGGATTATGCTGTCTCCATTGCGACTTTACGGGATATTTAATAAGAGACGTCTAGAAGAGCTTGTTTTCAGAGAGGTCATTTACTCTTCTGCCGCGTTCTGTCTATATTCATGATAGATGATCCTTCGTCAGACATAAAGTAGTTTTGTGCACGTGAGATTCATAATTGCCATTACGTAATTTCAGGTTACCGTAGCAACGAATTGTCTAGAATTTACATGTTGTATGGAGATGCAAGCAATGAGCAATAATTTTTTTCTCCAGTGTATCGTGTCTATTCTGTGAGTATTGACATTATTTTAATATGTGAAGCGTAAAGGAGACATTTTGTTATTGTTTTGTGTACATTTTAGTTTATCATAACAAATTCACTTATAAATAAACAATTGAAAGCACGAGTTTATAGATGGTAAAAAAGGTTAACTTTTTAATCGGAGAATACTTAACTAGGCATACCTGAAGATGGCATAATTTTACCTAAGGGCGCAGCATGAATCTTGCTTTGTACTGGATAATTCAAATACATAATTTTGCTAGATGGTTTTATTAAGTTGACTTATGATTGGAAGTTGAGCTTTATTATAAGCGTAGGATTAATAAAGGGCTAATCCAAGGGGAAGTACAATAGATCATTGAAGGTCGCGGGTTCAAGTCCCGATGAGGTCATTGGATATTTTTTTCAATTGACCTAATCCATCCGGCCTCACTACGGCCCTGGGGTCGACTCAGCCTCTAACGGAAATGAGTACCAGAAATTAATTAAATAATTTTTCTGGGGAATAAAGCGCGGCCGGCGCGTAAGGCTGACAACCTTACCGCCATCTTTGAGGCGATTGTCTAGAAAATGTAGGAACCTCAACGTATCACATCCCTATGGGCTTTCACGGCCTGTTACAGGGGTAGCTTTAGTTTTTATTACTTTATGTAAGAAAAGCAAAAGGAGTAATTTTACTAATTATTAGCAGTGTACTGTCAGATCTACGTTAAGGGCTATATTAAGAATCGCGGAGTTACCGCTATTGTAGAATATGATGTTCATAAGAATGTGCTACAGAAGGCCGGATGGGCATTGCCTAGGCCTTTTTGTATTTACAATACTTCCTTTATACAATAGAAAATTGTCTAGATAGCAGACGCAGAGGCTGGTCTCAGTAGTCAAAATGGCGACCGTGCTTAAGGATCATACTATCGAAGAACAGATTTCTGTTGGCAAAAGAATTGAGTGCAAAAGATATTCATAAAGAAATGTCTCATGTTTACAGTGGGAAGTGCTTCGTACAGGACACAAAGGGGAATGCTGTTGGTGTGGCGGAGACAGGACTAGGGTCTGTTTGACTGGCAAAGTTTAGTAGTGAGTTCCGACCCAGACCTTGCATTAGAGAGCGGAGGGGTAGACAAAGAGGGGGGAAGTATGAAAGACGAGTTTAAACAAACAGATTGGACGCATCACTTTGCAGGGATGAGGCTTGGGGGTTGGTAAATGTGAATATGATTATAGTCTAATGGAGGTGAAGTTATGCTTCTACACGTTTTGTGGAAAGGGGGTTGGGTCATATTTTGGTAAAACGATTACTGCATTTCAAATGAGGGATTATGAAAGCAAAACCAGTTAATGTGGGGTCGACAAGAAGATGCATGAAGATCGATCCTATAATCAAATACGAGATTTCTCAACTGCATTAAACAGGCTGCTCTAGAAATGTTAGACATCTACTAGAGATGTTCAAGGTTCGAGTTTCGGTAGGGCATAGCTTATCATGTGATTTTCATTGTTTTCCTCAGTTTCTCCACAAAAATCTCCTGTTATTCCCTCTACTAGACCAAGACGGCCTTTTTCCAAATTCTTTCCTATTCGTTGTCGACTCATCCTCTAACAGAAATGAGTATCAAGAATCTTCCTGGGGGTAAAGGGCGGCCGGAGCGTAAGGCTGACAACCTCATCGCCAACTGTGAGCCGAATATCTAGAGAAAATGTGGGAGCCTCGACGTCTCACAACGTTATGCGCCTCCACGGCCTGTTACAAAGATAACTTTACCTTTTTTTATACCGAAAACTTCGTTAAATATACCACGAAAAAGAAAACTCTGAACTGCGCATGCTTCGTTTCAGACTGGGACTCACACCAAACAGCAATGTGTGGGTTGGCGCCTGGTGGATAGGCTTCCTGCTTGCCGCCATCATGTGTACAATACTCGCTGTGCCACTGCTAGCATTTCCCCCTGCGCTTCCAGGTAAGCTAACAAGTTTCCGTGACGCATTTCAAGGTTCCTATGCGTCGAACGTATTTCGAGCCCCAAGCAAAACGTCGAACACGGATCCAGTACGTATTGGCCCTACCAAAAATTGCACTGTAATAATTAGGCAATTTTCTTGGAATTTAACGAAAATTAGAGGGACATGCACATGTAAAGGCAAATCCTTTACTTCCACCCATTATACTGGTTACAATTGATGGGACTTCTACTAACTATTTATGTTTTAAGGTGAATAAACGTTAAAAAGATAAAGTTGTTCCTATGCTTAACTAATTAAGCACTACGCAATGAAGGAGTATGCGGGAGTGGCTGTATAGATCCACATTCTCTTGATCTGTGTACTATTTCAAGGAGTAGTCAGCTTCAAGCCTTTACCCCTCGGAAAATATTCCCGGGTAACCACCCATTGGATACAATGCCGAGTCGGTCCTGTGGCCAGTCTGGGTGATATAGAGGAGGGAAAATTTATGTCCTCACCGGGACTCGAACACCGAGCCTGAGGTCATCCAGCCCGTAGCCAGTCGCCATAGCGACTGAGCTATCCAGGCTCTTATTTTCATTATTTAGACTTCTAAAATTTCCTCTTTCTTTTTATCTTTCCCACCTCCCCAATTGTTCCCATGTAACTGTGTGGAAGTCTCATAGTTCCTTGTGTTCAGGTGCGGCGGCGCTGCGAGCTGAGAGGGTGTCGGAGGCTCACGGGAACAGCAAGACTGAGGCCTTCACGAAGATCAGGGAACTCCCTCGCGCGCTGGGCAGCCTCATCGTCAATCCAACCTTCTTCTTCCTGAACCTCGCGGGTGCGAGCGAGGGGCTCCTGATCGCGGGGTTCGCTGCCTTCTTACCGAAACTAATAGAGAACCAGTTCAGCGTGAATGCGAGCTGGGCTGCTCTGCTTATGGGTACGGCTCACTACTTCCTTTCTTCTGTCTTCACTGTTTGTCGCTAGGCAACAGCTCTCAACAATGGTTATTCCTCAATGAATCTTAACAACGGAAATTCTTCAGCTTACCCGCTGATTAACACTCTCTAACTGAACTGTAGCGCCAGTTGACTTCAAGTTAACTCCTCGGCACCGACCACGCAGAAAACACAGACCTTCTATTGTTGTAGAAGTGTGTTTACCACATATAAAACACCGTTCTTCTCTTGTGCTCGTTTGTGTTGTGGGCGTTACCTAGCAACGGCAGGGCTTAGCAAAGATTTTATGCGTCACAATATGGAGCTTGGGCAATAGAGCAGAGACGGGAGCTCTGGCCTCTAGTCTTGTCAGTGTACTGAGTAAACTATCTCATTTCCCCATGTACTACATTGTGGCTATGAAGAGGGGGAACTGACTGAAGCCTCTGAAGAAGACCAGGGTCCACACAGGACTGTCGGGCCAGTGGCGATGATGATGATGGTTATAAGAGGCCTTGGCTCGAAATAGGTTTCTGGGAGCGACAAGCTGTAGCATAGCAACCATGGGGAACTTTAGTGGTGGATGTGGACGCGATAAGAGCACTTCTTCTTTATTTGGCTTGATGCTATCGCGTGGACTTCATTTTGTTCTGACCCTCGTATAAAAGAAGGGACGGGAAATCCCCATCTTACCGTCTCCCCGTCTATAGCTTGCCTGAGTCTTCTGCTCAAACAGCAAATTCTAATTTCACTTGTATTTCCTTGTATCTAATTTCATCTGCTTTGGTTTCTCCTTTCTTTTCCCTTTCTAACCTTATTTCTTCATTCCTTCTATTATCCGTTTATCCATCTTCCCTTACTTTTCTTCCTCTTAAAGTGTTTCAGATCTATGGTTAGACTGAGGATAATTATGTGTGACTATAGACGGGGTTTGGATTGGTGAATGGATTTATTGACCACTTTAACAAAAGACTTAGAACTGCAATCAATTACAGAGCCACCGATAGCCTCCGCAATTCACAAATCACCGCAGTATTTGCTAAGTTTTTCCAGCCTGCTGTGTCATCACCAGCCGTCCCTTAGCAACGGCTGCCAACAGTGTACATTCTTCACGCTCCGAGATCCTCTCTTCACAGCCTACCTTGCAGAACTATCAATTGACAACTTACTATAAGCGTGCTACCTAAGTTATCACAGTCATTAATTGTGAGCTGTTATAATTAGTTGTAATTGTAATAGAAGTGCCAATAAATCCAATCATCCAATCCACAACCCGTTACTATTTGTCACGGAACCCCGGACACGTGACATATTTACATTTAAGGGCCCGAAAATAAGGCTATCACTTTTTCTACGAAATATAAAAAAAAAAGACTCGCTTTATATTCGAGCTAATACAGAACTTACAACAAGGCCTCTCTTGATGATTGTGTAGGTCTGGTGACAGTGCCTGCCGGAGGCGGCGGGACCTTCCTAGGAGGCTACCTGGTGAAACGCCTTAGTCTCCACTGCGCTGGAATCATCAAGTTCTGTGTGGTCGCCACTTTGATTGGCGTCACTTTCACCACCTGCTTCTTCTTGTCTTGCCCTAACCTCGCGTTCGCCGGCGTAACGAAACCCTACAGGAACAGCAGGTCAGTACACACCGGCCACCCGCACAGCACTTGACCGATACTCTCACGCGCACTGCCCAAAAGCACGTGGCAATGAATCCCAGGAAATGAAACAATAAATATTGATTAATAATTTACTTTTGGGGGTATCATTCACAGTCCTGTTTTTATTCAAAACTACATTTCGGGGACTGGATTCTGTCTCCGTCCTCAGGAAAAAAAAAATCTGCCCAGTTGGGCCCTCTCTCCGGTCACCAGAAGCATCAAAAGGTAAGATACATAAATGAAATACAATAGAAACCATCTGCGGGTGTTAATACAATAATGTTTAAACACCACATGCATGACATCCTGCACATATGACCTTGAATAACGCCTACAATTATTGTAATGTCAAGGAGGATGAGATGGGCAGGGTCTGTAGCACGAATGGTGGAGAGGAGGAATGAATCTAGGTTATAAGTGGGAAAGCCTGAAGGAAAGAGACCACTGGGAAGACCAAGACGTAGGTGCGTGGACAATATTAAAATGGATGTTAGGGAAATAGGATGGGATTGTATGGATTGGATTAATCTGGCTCAGGATAGGGACCAGTGGAGGGCTCTTGTGAACACGGTAATGAACCTTCGGGTTCCATAAAATGCTGGGAAGTTCCTGAGTAGCTGCACACTTGGCAGCTTCTCAAGAAGCACTCAGCTCCATGAGTGAGTGAGTGAGTGAGTGAGTGAGTGAGTGAGTGAGTGAGTGAGTAATTCCTGTCTCACCAATATTAGGAAATGTCAGTAAATTATGGTCACATATTTACTTTAATTTAGGTGAGAATTTTAGTGAAGATCGTAGATGCCAACATGCACAATTGTACGGGCTGGAAAGGTTGCCAACCGTGAAGCTTGTCAGTGCTAACTCTAAAAGGACAGGTCCCAATTTCATGGTTTGTGGATTCTCACTTCGATGTGGAGCCCGCCTCTCTCTGTTGCAGCAGATTCACGGATTGTGGTTTGCGTGTTGGACAATAAACTTGCTACTCACTAAAACCAGATACGAAACCGAGTAAATGATAAAGTTCTAAGCTACCCGTTGACGTAATTCTTCCGCTATTTTTGTTTTCAACGCTGATACCTGAAACAGTTATTCATTATTGACCAGATATTAAACAAAATGGTTGGGGTTACAGTATAATGTGATAATCACTTCTTTTCGTGTAGGATTAGAAAACTGTTCATTTAAATTTCGTTTATTTAACAATTGTGATACTTCCGGGCAGAACTGGTGATGATAATATTCGTGACATCTGACGGTATAACTGTGGTTCTCTCCTGTCGGTACTGATGCACATAAATTGTGTTCGCTCCTTCCAATGTTAGTGCAAATAGCTATGGTTTTCTCTTGTCAGTATAGGAACACAGAGCTATGATTCCCTCCTGCCAATATATAGGAGCATAGAACTATGATTCCCTCCTGCCAATACAGGAGCACAGAACTATGATTTCCTCCTGCCAATACAGGAGGACAGAACTATGATTCCCTCCTGCCAATATATAGGAGCACAGTACTATGATTCTATCCTGCCAATATATAGGAGCATAGTACTATGATTCTCTCCTGCCAATACGAGTATATAGGAGCACAGGACTATGACTCTCTCCTGCCAATACAGGAGCACGTAACTATGATCCTCTCCTGCCAGTATAGGAGCACAGAACTATGATTCTCTCCTGTCAATATATAGGAGCACAGTACTATGATTCTCTCCTGCCAGTATAGGAGTACATAACTGTCATTCTCTCCTGCCAATGTAGGAGCATGTAAATATGATTCTCTCCTGCCAATATAGGAGCATGTACTTGTGATTCTTTCCCGTCAGTATAGGGAAAGGCAACTATGATCCTGTCCTCTCAGCGTTAGTTCACGTAAATGTGATTCTCTTCTGCTAGCACTGATGGACATGACTGTGATTCTCTTTGCACTGTTTTACTGCAGCAGTAGTTCGAGGTATTCCCTGGACAGCTCCTGCAACGCGGATTGCGGATGCAGTAGAACACAGTTTGACCCCATCTGCGGACTAGATGACGTCATGTATTATTCTCCCTGTTACGCGGGTTGCACGCAAGAGATATCGCTTCGAGATACAAAAGTAAGCAGTTACAATTTTGTCACCTGCATTTACAGGTATCCACCAATTTTTGAGACATCTGAATTCCCAAAATCAGCCCAATTATTTTGTTACACATTTGGTTTAGCTTTCTTTGAATTTTGTTATTGTAAAATACGTAATTATCGGAGTTTTTATTATATATATATATATAGTTATAGAGCACGAGATGTGAGTTTAATATTATTGCTTTCCAGGGCTTTATGAATGTCTCCGTTTTCAATTCAGTACGGTAATAAAAACTAAACTCCGTGGCCTTAGTCCCCAAGAGAACTATACCGACAGAGCGACCTCCGCTCTTCGGTGAAATTAGTACCAAATTTAGCGGATAGAGGGTGTCGTGTTGTCAGAGCAACGAATTCCGATGGCCATTAATTTCGGTTTTCTAGACCGGAGCCGCTACTTTTCCATTCAAACAACTCCTCAATTATCCTCACGAGGCTGAATGGACCCTGTTCCAGACCCACTACTTCTCAGAAAATCTGATAGCACCGGGAATAAA